CGTTATCGGCCGGCCCCTTTTTCTTCCTCCTCCCCGGATAACCCGGGCTACCGCCGCCGATAAAAAAATGGTCTCTAGGGCGCCTCCGTGGGCCCAGCGCGGATCCGAGAAACCCCCGCGGAACGCCAAACTGTTATGTTTTCGGCGTTTTGTATTCTTCTGCTTTCGGCCCCGCCCAAGCAGTGGCGAAGCGTCCTGGCTTGCCTACAGGCCTGCCAAAGAATGTTTGATAACCTCCTGTGGTTTGCACGAAATGCTCTTAGAACAGTTTTGGCTGGGACTGTGTTGTTTTATCACATAGAGTTTATGTTATGAGAATACTGCTTTTGTTATTAGAACGCTTCTTGGTTCTAGGACCATTTCGTGGTAGGACTATAGGAATGCTGGGACGGTCGGTCCTTGCTCAACCTTCTGCATGGTGTGCGCCGTCCCAGGCCATTTGTCCACCCCCCATCGCCCATCGCTCCCCGGCGACCCCTTTTGAGGCCCCAGGGCTGCCAGGGATGGGGCCCAGGACGATGGCCAAGCTGGCTAGTGCAGGCCTGGGAAGGGTCAGGAGGGAAAAAACCACGCAGACACAATGAATCGTCGATCCCCCAGAAAATATAAGAAAATGTGGGGAAGTTGGGGGGAAGAGAAGAGCCCAGAACATATGGGAACATATGGGGAACCTGCTTATTTGCATATATTTATTTGTGTGTTCCGGGGCCCCTTCAGAAATCTGTGATGTTGGCGGAATCGCTCTCCGCGGCGCCTGGGGCGCCATGGAAGTGGCGGATCGGACACCGCTCGTAGGGTGACAGGGCAGTGCAGGTGTCCTCCGCCACTCTCCCCCCTGGATTTCGGACCTCTGCGGAAGTGATCGCGCACGGACAAATCCATCCTGGGAAGCCATGGCGGAAACGGATGCGCCCGTAGCATGTAGACAGCGGCGTGCAAGCCGTACCGCTCCTATGTCGAGCCGGCTCGGAGCCTAGGCAGGCATGCGACCCCCCATGCGTGGAAGAGAAGCACGACAATCCTGGCGCCCTGTTCCCGCGGGCGCCATCCACGAGAGCAGGCACCAGAGCCCGCTGGCCACAATGCAAGTCCTAGCGCAACACACAGATCCGAACCACACCCACGGGATTCCGCTCATGGTGGGCTTGCGTTCCACCGCCACCACCACAAGTAGGAGGGGGAAGGGGTCCTCCTCCTCCTCCTCCTCCCTCTACTCCTGCTCCCCTTCCTCCTCCTCCTCCTCCTCCTCCTCCTCCTCCTCCTCCTCCTCCTCCTCCTCCTCCTCCTCCTCTTCCTCCTCCTCCTCCTCCTCCTCCACCTCCTTCCCCCCTCCAACTTCTGGTGGTGGTGGTGGTGTTGGAAAACAGGCCCATCAGCGCAGCCCCTCTTCTCAGATAGCGGCGCCGCTTCTGTGTGCCGCCCCAGGGAGACGCCCGCCGCTCGGAGGCCGGCGAGCCTGGAGCCCGGAGCGCCCGCTGCCACCGCGTGGGGAAAGCGGGCCCCCCTCCGCATGCCCGTAGGCTCAAGTCGGGCACGTCCTCCTGCAGGAGTTATGTTCAGAAATGGTCGAAAAGGTCATGCGGGACGATGTTTCGACTAGTTCTGGCTACGTTTGGTAATTCTGTGACTGTTTTATATTCTTCGTCCAGGATCCGCCTGTAGGAGGGCATGCCCGACCTAGCCGTAGTCAGGAGGCACGTACTTGGGAGCCTCTCCCGCCGACTGACTCGTTCGGGGTGGCCCAGCCCCACGCCCCCTTTTTACAACCCACCACCAGGGCGGCGCCAGCAGTGGGACCGTGCGGCAGAACATCGTGTTGTTGAAGCCGGATCGGGCTTCAAAAACACGCAGTTTTCAAGCTGGATGCGGCTTGAAAAACACACAGGTCTCTCAGGCCCTTTTGCAACCCACGGGGCACACCAGGGCGGCGCCAACAGGGACCGTGCGGCGGAAAATCACCACCCACCGAACCACCCCCAGCTCAACCCAATGACCAAAGTCTACTCTGCATTTCCAGTGGGGGGGCGTCGGGGAACACTGCAACAGCACACGTGGAACCCGTACCCCCCCCAACCGAAACTTGGGTCTTCGGGTTATGTTTGTGTTGTCTGGGAATGAGGCAGAAAAGAACCAGGCCCGAGGTCTTCACTGCACCACTCAGGAGACCAGCCCCAGGAGTGCAGCTCAGCGACCCTGTGGCACAGGCCATTCCTACCGCAGCGCAGCCCCCGCACAAGCCACGGCTTGGCGAGGTTCCAGCGCCGGGCCCCAGCGCCAGGGTACTTCCTCCACCATTTCACTTGTCTCTGCTCCCTGTTCCTCGTCCTTGTCGTGCTCGACATTGCTCAGCCTCATCTCTCCGTCCTCCCCTACTCTTTCCTCTCTCTTCCCTCCTCCCTCCTCATCCGATGTCTTGACGTCGAGGTCTCCTGGAGGCTCCTGACGCCCCCCACCTCTCTGGGAGCCCTCTGGGAACTCCGCAACTCTCCTCCTTGACGTCGGCTCGGAGATTTGTCTTGGAGCGTGATCTCGGTGGAATTTTTGAGGCGGATCCAGCCGTGCCGACGATGGCGCCCCAGGCGGCCCCAAATTGCTCAACAGCAACAGCAACGAATAGGAGAGGTTCGAAATCTCATCCTCAACGTCTATTCCGCTTCCTCCCTTCTCCTTTGACTCGGCGGTGTTCCGAGGGGGTAGTCAGAGGGGGCAGGCCTTCTCAGAGGCCCTGCCGGTGGCTTCGGGAAAGGCTTTGATTCTCAGAAGGCCGGAGGCCTTCTGACCATTATGATTAAGTCGGGCCTGTCCCTCTACATGAGGGAAATTCAAAAATAGTCAAAGAATCGTATGTGGACTATTTTTTGAGTATTTGTTGACCATTTGGGAGTATTCTTGATTTTTTCGCATCAGATTCCCCTGTAGGGGGACAGGCCCGACTGAACATTATGAGAAGTCCCACGTCCTTTGCCTTCCTCCCTGGGCGCGCCGCCGACTTACGCCTCCTCAGTGCTGATTCTTGCGGCGTTAGTCTGTGTGGGCCTTGGCAGTCATCCACAAAGCGCAGGAGGAGCCCATGTGGCATGGGTAGGCAAAGCGCCAGGCGAAGCAGACGAAACGCACGTAGGGCCCTTGGACATCGCCGGTTACGATGCCGTGCCGCGCTGCCGAGGGCTTCTCTCTTCCTGCAGCCAGCGCTCAGCTCAGGTCGTGCCCCGGCACTGCTTCCCCAGCGCCATGCTTCGCTGCGACCCGCCTGAGCTCGACTTGCCAGATGTCTGACGGCCCGATGCTCTGTTTCGAGGCACGGACGCCCAGGTTAGTATGCACCTCATGGGAGCCTGAAGTCAGCATCGGCGCTGATATGCGCTGAGACATCCGCGGTCTGGCCAAGTTCCGCATACTCCCGGCTACATCTGTGTGGATCTCGCTCAATCTGGCTCAAGTGTGGGCCGAATCTGGTTACATGATTAATAACGCCATTTACTCGTCGGTCGTTGAAAACATGAGTTTCTGGATTCTCAGATCCCAATTCATTTTAGGCGCCTTCCTCCTTCAATCATTGATCATTTTGCAATGGCCAGTTATTCTCTCGGAGGGTCTGGACCCGATCTACTTGATCCGCCTTTCCACTTCATGTTCTCGCAGAAGGTGCTCCAAAGACACACTTTTCTAAACCTTCCCCAGATGGGTTCCGAGCGACGGGGTCGGAGGATCGCGCCGGATCGCCGATGCATCGACGATGCGGCTCGATGTGGAGCTCGTTCTTTCTCCACGTCGACGTCCCCGATGCATCGCCGAAGTCGCGGATGCATCGCCGATGCATCAGCAATACATCGCCGATGCATTGCCGATGCATCGGCGATGCGGTGCAATGCTCCGACCCCTTCTACTCGGACCCCACCTCGGAGGCCTCGAATGTTCGCCTCGATATGAGGGATCGTAGATTCCCGCGGCGGATCGAGGCCACCCGCGTGCAACTGCATTGCGAGGTGAGTCGCGGAACGCGCTTGCCTCGGGCAGCGGGCGGCGTTGGCCTAAGTCGTCGGACAAGAACCCGTGAGGGTCTGTAGTTCTGCCCCTCATTCTCGCGGTGGGGAAGAAAGTCTCGTCCCTCCTCTTCCTTCTGCTCCTCTTCCGCCGCATCGTGGTCGTAGCCGTCATCGCAGTCGTAGTTGTCGTCGTCGACTTCGTCGTCGTCGTTGTCGTCGTCGTCGTTGTCCTCGTCGTCGTTGTTGTGCGGCGTGTGCCGCGGGGAAACGACTGGGGGGGCACGCGCGACCTACGCCCTCAGGGGATGCGCATCGACGCCACATCGCCCAGGTGCTTTACGACAGAGACCCCCTGGTGCCTCACCCCGTCCAGAGGCTTGCGGACTTGCCGTCGGGGGCGCGCGCCCGCAGATCTGTCGGCCGTGCATCTCTTCCTCCTCCTCCTCCTCCTCCTCCTCCTCCTCCTCCTCCTCCTCCTCCTCCCTCCTCCTCCCCCCCCTTCCTCTTCCTCCCTCCTCCTCCTCCTCCCTTCTCCTCCTCCTCATCCTCCCCCTTCCTCCTCCTCCTCCGTCTCCTCTCCTCCTCCTCCTCCTCCTCCTCCCTCCTCCCCCCCCTCCTCCCTCCTCCCTCCTCCCTCCTCCCTCCTTCCTCCCTCCTCCCTCCTCCCTCCTCCTTACTCCCTCCTCACTCCTCCCTCCTCCTCCTCCGCCTCCTCCTCCTCCTCCTCCTGATCGAGGATTCCCCCAGCGAGTTGGTCCTCCCCCCCTAAGGTTCCCCCTCGGGAGGAGGAGGAGGAGGAGGAGGAGGTGGAGGAGGAGGAGGAGGAGAAGGAGTCTGCTCCTGCGAGTGATCCTCCGCCTCGTCGTCGTCGTTGTCCTCCTCAGGCGCGGAGGGCTCTGGAGAGGAGGAGGAGGACGAGGAGGAGGAGGAGCAGGAGGATTTGGAAGAGGTGGAGGAGGAGGACGAGAAGGAGAAGGAGGAGGAGGATCCAGAGGCCCAGCCCGCGAATCCCAG